ATTTTAAATTTTCTCGTAGCCACATCTATAAAGTAAAAAAATAGGTGGAATTAACTGTAACAGTATATTTATTTAACTCAATATATCCAAAACATTATTTCATGATGTAATCGATATTTAAAGTTATTATTTTACTTTTATTTTTTTCTCATATTGTCTTCAAAATCTGATGTGTTTTTTACTTACAGCACATCCCAATTCAGACTAGCCACATGTCCAGTCCTCAGTAACCACATGTGGCTAGTGACTGCCTAATTGGGCAGGGCCGTTCTAGACTCTCCCCCACCCCCAAGTCAGTCATCCCTCAGCCACTGGCCACCATAGGGACTACTGTGTGCTGGAGGTGGGGCCCTGGGAACACACCCAAGCAGTTTATGGAAGTGAACTCAGGGCCATTTGGACAGGGATGGGAAAACACAGGCTCTGTCTGGGTGGGCATGTTCCTTTGGCCTCTCAGACTCCTCATTTGAGTGAAGGGGCACAGTCAGAGGGTCACAGAGCAAGGCTGATAAAACAAGAACCTCACTTCAGGGGTGCCTCTGGCCCAGGTATTATCAGTCATTCTAGTTTGCCATAGTCCCCACCATTCATTTTTAACATCCTAACAATGAAGCTGAATATCAGAAGCCATGTCTATATTTGGGCCATCTTATAACTGAGATTAAAAAAAAATTAAAGAAAATGAAACTGTCCCTGTGTCCATCTTTCAGTCCTCAGTTGGGGAAAAAAAAGGCTGGCAAGTTTCAAAAAAAGACAGTGGAAAGCATAATTCTTTGCAGACAAAAAGAATAGTCCCACGTTTTTCACATGCAAACGGCATGTCTACGCATGTATGCATGGTTTCTTACCCCAGACCCACTTCCTCTTTTACCTTACCTGTCTGGACCTTATGAGCATTTGAATTTTAACCTTCTAAATTAAAAAAAAAAAAATCTCCCAGTTACCGCCATTCTCATTGTTCCAATAAGCCCCAAAGGTAGACCAGCAGCAGGAAGGAAGAGTAACATCAGGGGAAACATCCCAAAGCCAGGAGCAGGCTACAGAGAGCAAGGCAGGTGGCTGGGCATTCCCTACAACGTCCTCCAGGGGGCGCCTGGAGCCTGGGTAAAGTGACCCATGAGCATTAAGGTGATGAACTGCCCTCTTCTTCCCCACTCTGCAGTGTGCTCGCCAGAGTGGTTCACTCCTTGGTCCTTTCTTCTAATCCCACATATTTTCCCTAGACTAACAGGTCTGGGAAGGTAAAATAATATTGGAAAAGCTTCAAGTTTAGAGCCCCTTGTTCTGATACAAACTCTGCCACTAAATAGCCAGGCAACCCTGAGCAAGTGACTTCCCCTCAGGGCCTCATCCCTCACCTATAAAATGAGAACCGAACCGTCCTCAGAGAGAACACATGAGAATCAAAGGAGGTGAAGCCTTCATAAGCACTTGGAAAACTGCGAAAGCCCAGTACAGAAAAGAGTAAGGAAAAACAGCAGCGGTGGGGCGGAGGGCAGAGGTCAGGCAGTGGCCTTCGGGCCCCTCTGCCTTCTTTCCAGACCCAGTGAGTCAGAGAGAGCACAGGAGAGAGTGGCCAGGAGGAGGCCTAGGAGGTGGGTGGAGGCCAAGCAGGCTCAGGCCATGGGCCAAGTCAGGACTTGGGGCTTTATTCTAGATTTCAAATAGGGGAGTAACCAAATCTGATTTGTATTTTTGAAATACAAATATACAGGGGGCCCAAGCAACTCTTCTGCAATGCAAGAAATCTTCTATATACTACAGGTGTGAACCTAAGTGGAAATCTATCAAGCACTTTCCTCATTTTATTGTATTTGTTATACTGCAGCAAGGGAAGAACAAAGGGGCCTGTGACTGGCCAAGGCTGGCTCCCACCATTCTTGTGGGCACAGAGGAGAGGCGATGTGACTGGCAGGCCCACCAGAACCACAGGGATAGAGCTAAGAACAGTTCTTGAAAAGCAGGGGGATGTGGAGGGAGGGAGGAATGGGAACAGTGTTCTGTTATCAGATGCGAAAGAGATGCTGGATAGACAGAGTAACTAATACCCACCAAGATATGCAATGAGGGAGCACAGTGGCTCACCCAGGGACCTCTCAGCCATGCTGGTCCCTGTCCCAGCCTCCCCTTCCAGGGTACTGCTCCCAGTAATACTGCTGCATTCCCACTCCCTTACATGCTCGTCTGGCCCTCATTCTTAGCCCTCTTTACAATCTTCCGGCTAAGGTGATCACGGACCATTTTCTCCCAGATCATCTTGGGCAGGGCAAAACCCTGAAATGACAATATATGAAGTGTTGGAAGACTAATCATTTCATTCCTGGAGGGAAGAGGTAGGGAATAATGCCTGGTTCATCTGGCATGGTCAGACATGGGACTTCTACATATGTGGATTTTCTAGAAAGCTAAAATTTAGTCCCATAAGAAAACAAGCCCTTTTTTTTTTTAATGCCTGTCAAAAAATTGAATGTACATACACTTGGACTCAGCAATTACAGGAATTACTCTTATATCCTCGCTGTGAGTGACATAACATGAATCCAAGGTTATTAGCTGCAACATTGTTGTCATAGCATAAAGTTGAAAAGATCCACCAACCGGGGATCGGTTAAATAAATTGTAACACAGCCTTACATGGAACATTATGCAGCTGTGAAAAGAATGGGGCAGCAACTTACATGCTGATATGGAAGGAGCAGGACATATAACGCCACATATAGTATAGCACCCTTTGTGAAATGTGTATACACGTATGTATTTAGGAATTCTATATACATAAACTCTGCCTGAAATGAATTACAAAAAACAGATAACAGTTTCTATCTCAGAGAGAAACTGGGTGACTGATGAGGAAGGAGTCCCTTTTATAATACGAGGGATATTTATTACCTATTCAAAACGAGGTTTAAATTTTTGAGCTATGTATGACATGTGTACACATGATAAAAATCGAGTATTGTCGAAAAAGCACTAGCCTAAGCATCAGGATACTATTTCTATCACTTACAGTGTAACCTTACTCAAAGTTTGCACAAAATGGGGATTTTAATATCTGCCTCCCAGAATCACTGGAGGGTTGGAATGTGCTATAGCACAAGATCTGCCATCAAGTGGGTATTTTAGAAATGGTAGTGTCTATCCTACCTCAGTATCCTCATCTACATGAGAATTAGATGTCCAGCTCTTATTTATATTTGTTTAAATACTGAAAGGTAAATCGAGGACAGTGTCTCCTGAACCCTCAGTGTCCTTGATCCCATAGTAGATACACAATAACCTGGGAGAAGGAAGGAAAGAGAGAAAGAGAATTCTCCCTGGAGCTTTCCTGCCTTTCCCTGAGCTAAGGCCTGGGGCGTGGGAACTCTGTGAGACTATCAGAAGGTCCCATGACTGTCCCCGGTATGTCTGCCTCCTGAGGGCAGGGCCTGGTGAGACAGGCGATCAGCTCCTGGAGGGATGA